GGACACACTGGAACAGGCTGCCCAGGTAGGTGGTGGCTGCCCCAACCCTGGCAGTTTTCAAGACTAGGCTGGATGAATCCTTGAGCATCCTGGTCTGTTGGGAGGGGGTTTGGGACTAGATGATCTGTAAAGTCCATTCCAATCCATAGAATTCTATGATTCTAGATCCAAAACCAGTTCCACCCAGAAGCATCAGTATCAGAGGACACTGAACTGTTATTTGATGCCTCAGGCAGGTCTCCTTCCACAGCACAGGGATAGTCATTCAACAATCTTCTTTGCTACCCCAAAAATGGGAAGGATAAACTCAAACTTCTACAGGAGATGGAAGTAATGAAGGAGAAGAGGCTCTGCTACCTACATCTTCCCTGAAGCAAGGACTTCTCATAACATCTTGGTGAAAGCATTGAGCACGCAGCAACATTTTGAATTGTGCTGCTATTGTGCTAACCACAGTAATGGCAAGCAGTCCGGCCTCATCTGGATGAGGGAATCTGGTTTTCAAGGGAAGCACAGCTAAGAAAGGTTTCAAATAGGATCTGATTAGCTGATTCAAAACAGATGCTGTGCTGGCAGACAGGCTGCTGTAGATCATCTGATCCAATCCCCTTCCCCTTGTTTTTGTACATAATGTCCTTCCAAGCAAAGCCAGCTCCTCCATAGCTAAGTCTAAATTGCATTAGGAATCTTGGCTTTTTGTCAGTTATGCATGTTGTGAACAGTTTTGTCATTTAACATATTTTAGGGGGATTGTAGAGTCAAGCACTTGACTGCTTATCAGAAATCCACCTGGTATTCAAGGAAGGCAGAGGCCATGCTGCGGCATTTTAATCCCTGCAGTCCTTAACCTTTACACAGCACTTTTCCTGCCACTTCTCCTGGAGAAGGGAGCTTCATCAACTCTGGGACCAGAGGAGGAACACCCTCTTCAGCACCCTACATGCTTTAGTTTTGTTTTAACTATATGAGCTAAGAGGGCTCTGTATCCCAATGCTGAGCCATAAAACATCTTTTTCTCTTCCACTTTATAGAGTCATAGAATTTTAGGGGTTGGAATGGACCTTACATATCACCTAGTCCCAACTCTCCCTGCCATGAGCAGGGACACCTCCTCACTAGATCAGGCTGCCCAAGGCCTCATCCAGCCTGGCCTTGAACACCCCCAGGGTTGGGGCAGCCACCACATCCCCGGGCAACCTGTGCCAGTGTCTCACCAGTCCTATAGACAAAAAGCTTTTTCCTAATATCTGACCTAAACTTCCCCTCCTTCATTTTGAATCCATTACCCCTTATCCTATCATTGCAGTTCCTAACAGTGCTTAGAAAGGAAACAGCACCTTGCAGCAGGTTCACTTGCCTCTACCTGCTCCAGTATGGCTCAGGGCTGCTTTAGCTCAGCCACATCCTCACCTTAGCCTAGCACAGGGACTAGACACTGCACATGGCTGGTACTCAGATGTCCATCCCTCTAACTCAGGGCTTATTGCTTTCCCATGGGAGACTGAATAAAGTCCAGTGGGCCAGTTGCCTTAGGAGTACAGGCTAGATATTTGTGTTAGTCCTCCTTGGCACTGTAGGATCACTAATTAAGATGTTAAGGTAGTTTTTGTCTTAACCTTTTCTCCCAGTACAGCTGAAACACTTTTCCTTACTCTCCCAAGACTGCACTTGCTAACAGAAGTCACTGGGATCAGCTCCTATTTAGCCAGAATCAACATAGCCAGGAATTCCTGTAATACACTTAGAGGTGCAAACAAGTTTCAGACTGGGACTGTTCATTTGGTTGCTTGGTCACAGATGTAACAGGAGATTCATCCCAGAGAGGCCAAGGCAAGGGGATAACTCCTTTTGCTCTTGTTTTTCAGTTTAACGAAGGAGAAGGGTTGGTATCAGCTTGCTGAATAGCAGAACCATCTAAATTAATTTCACATGGAGTGTCTGGTCTCAGCAGCAGGATGCTAATCCTTTGCAGCACTGCAACCACAGAAGTGCTCAGGGACAGACCAAGGAAAAGGCTTTGTTCAGTGCAAACCTAAGGCAACAGAGGCATACACAGTAAGAGAAACATGGGTTTACACTACAGCTGGGGAAGAGAAAATGCCAGAGAGCATCTCAGCAGCTCTTTTCATTCTAGGATTTTGCGAGCAGGAGAGCACAGGGAAAAAAAATAACAGCTTGGCTTCAAGTGTACACGGCAAATGAAGCACTAGAACAGGTTGCGCACAGAAGGTCTGAATGCCCCATCCCTGGAAAAGTGCAAGGCTGGGTCAGATGGGACATTAAACAACTTGGTCTAGTGGAAAGTGTCCCTGCCCATGGGAAGGGGGCTGGAACTAGATGATCTTGAGAGTCCCTTCCAGGGGGAAGGGACTCTAGGAAGGGGAAACCCTTCTATGATTCTATAAAATCACACTGGCTCAGAGGCCTGTAGACATTTCTGACTGCCCACAACATTTTGCCACTTCCTACTCCCAACAGCATCCAGTTAACAAACCAGCACAACGGGAGCAGTAGCCACTAGATACTTTACCTTTCACTGCCTTGGTAATTGCTTCAAACTCAGCTTGGCCATAGATACAGTGCCTGAGATACTGTGAGTCACCTGCCCCCAGTCAGACATCAGCTTGACAGACTCCAGCTCCTAAGACATCTAACTGCAGTGTCAACAAAAGCAAGTAGGATTTGTCAGAAGAGGCGTTGCTAATGAGTGCCTGAGCACCACATCCAGGTTTTGCTGGTAACAATGATGTCACTCTACCACTGTAACGCCCCGGTGTGATGCTGATGGCAATAATGGCACTCATAATTAAGCTAATGCACTTCTCTAAGGAGACTCCCCTTCTGAGCCTGCAGATGGTGCAAAATAGCTTTAAGCAAGGCAATAAACCCTTCATCAGAACTTTTAATTCTGTAGTGATTGCACTCACTAGGGTGGTAAAATGCAGAGTTATGACATACACAGACTGCCTCCCTGGCCTCCTTCAAGGGCACACCAGTGTTTATCTCTGCCTAAACCAAATGGAGCTCAGCTGGTTTAATGCAATTTTTTTGTAAATTAGAATTAAACAATTAAACGTTTTAACAGCAATGAATATACTAAGTATTTCAATGATTTTTTTTTTTCACTGTCGCATTACATTTTTAAATGTCCCCATTAAAAGAATTAAATTGCTAAATTGCCACAACTCCAGACTCACTCACTGAGAAATGCAGGATCTTTGCAGCACAATGCAGATCTGTCAGGCCACTGAGATCTGTGAGACTTGGGTAAGAAATAAAGCAAAAAGTCTTCCAAGGGAAAAATATACACAATAAGATGCACAGTGCCAAGATCTCCTTTCTGCTTTGCAAATGCTCTGGAGGCACATTCACACTTCACTGAGCCAAGTAATGTCTTCAAATGACTGGACTAGGGTTTGAAAAACGTGCAGACTGAGTCCTAACAAGAACCGTTTATGTTTTATGACTCTGAGCCATCTGTGAGCTGAAGGGACAGAAACCATCTAAAAACTGTCAAGCTGAGAGTTCGGTTTCCACAATAAGCTCTCAATCACCTTTAATCTGCCTATTAAGCACACTCTGGCTCTTCTGCAGCAGTCCCACTGCAAATGCCATGGGTGTGAAAAACAGCAGATGGCTAATGGGGGTGGAAAGCTATACAGATCGTTAGAGAAGCATGGAAAATTCAGTGCTGGCTATAAAAGTCACTAGACAAGGGCAGCTGTAAACAGCTAGGTGAAAAGAGGTGGGAGGGTCACATGGTAGCTGCTCTGTATAAACTGCTGCTATTTCCTTCTCAAAAAACACCAGAAAAAAGTGTTGAAAGAATCACACATGAACTCACCATAAGATGCAAGGCTCCCCAGCATTAACACACTAAGGTGGTTTTCCATTGTGCTAGTTTCCAGCTTTTAGCAGCACCTTTGATCTGATAATGGAATCACATAAGGACCCTGAGGAACACTTAAAGAGCAAAACTACTTGGTTTTTATATGTTGTAATGCATGACTGTTAAGCCATTATCTCAATCTCTAACTGACATACCAATATGCTGAGGATACATGGAGTATAAACACAGCAATAAGCCAGGAGGCCAAGGCAGCAAAGACAGGAAGCTCAGTATGGCCCATTTTTTGCTGCACTCCTAGCAAAAGCCCAAACTCTGACTGCAAACAGAAATCATGACATGCAATTAGATGACCAAGAGAGGATTTTTCCCCCCGTTTATCCCAACAATTTACAGTATCTTTACACAGGAGAGGGGTATCATTTCCAACCAACTCAACAGGCATGAATAATCACCTTCTAAGATATTTCACAATGACTTTCACTTACGCTTAAATAAGGTTGTTATTCCAGAAGTGGCAGAACAGGGAAAATTGAATTTTGTTAAAGAGTAGCAGATAAGTCAGGGCAGAAAGTAGCTAGAATCAAATAATGAAAATCACACCATCACTTTTGTATTCAGTAGTGTTGTGACATTCTTCCCACCCGGGATTCCATCCTTCTGTACTTGGGATTGCCACTTTGATTATGTTTTACAAGGGAGCATTCTCCTCCTTCTAGCTTTCCATGGGCAGGCTGAAACACCTATCACATCCAGTTCAAGTAACCTGTGGCTAAGCTCTCTTGCATGTATCAAGTCTGCCAAAAATCAGTGAGTGTCTGTGCAACAGGAAATAAAAGAGACATGGATATCTCTAAAAAACAATCTCTGCCACCAGAGGCTGGGGTTGGAGCCACTATTTCCCCTCCCCCTCCAGAGGTCAGGCAGATGACATTCACTTACCATACAAACATATCTGGCCATGTCAAAAGAGAACATAAATTACTACAGTTAGAGAAAAGAAACCACAAATGCTTTCCAGTTTTATTCTTACTGGGAGGGCAGTGGCATCCTGATGTGTCACATCATCCAATGAAAACTGACAGGGACTTTTTCAAGGCTCCTAGCTTACCTAGTAGTTATGATATTAAGTCTTAGAGTAATCTTGGCTTGGATGTAGTGCTTTGTTCAGCCTGTAGACATAGCATTCCCAATTCCAAATAGTTTAGCTGGGTCAAGACCAAAGAAATCAGCGCTAACAGAAAGGGAAGGTAATCAGATGTGAAACACAGACAATATGAGAAGTGATGTGTCAAGGCTTGTACCATGTAGTATTTGTACAGACTAGTCAGAAATGGGTATTACAAACAGAGCTGGAAAACAGAAATGGTAAAAAAAAAAAATGACCAAGTGCTTTTGATGTATTTCCCAGAAAAGAGAAAGTCTGTTCAGACAGCAAAAATGTAACAGCTTCAAAAAACAACACTGAAAAAAAACACCAACAAAAAATCCCCAAAAACAAAACACCACAAACATGAAAGGACCTTTAAATCAGCTTTTCCATTGGATAAATATATTTGAAATAGTTGTACAGTTCACAGTGGCATAAAGTTCTCTGATTGCTTGAGTGCTTGAAAATATCTCATCAGTAAAAAAATACCAGAGCTGGGGCAGGAAAACCCTCTCTGAATTCTGTACATTGGTAAATGCACAGGTTTTGGCAGGCATCAGGTCACTGGATCCATGGGAAACTGGCAGCATCACAGGACTGCAGATCACAAGTCAGGGGATGGAGGATAAGAAGAATAATAAGGCCCATTTTCCTGCAATGAGAACAGAATAAGCAGTTGAACAAAAACAGGTCTCCAATGCACCTTGTTGCAATGATGGTGTCATTCAAGACAAAGCTGCTAACACAGACACACAGCTCTGGCTGTTACTTTGTAGTTACATCACATCCTCTTTGGAATGATTTTGCCAATGCAAGCTATTTTCATTTCGCCATTTGGCTAGAGACCAGGGATGGAGAAGGGAAGAGGAGGAAGGTCCAACACAAAGGCAAGGCACCCTTCTGCTGTTCCATTTTTCTCCACTGTTTTATTTTTCCTTTTCCTGAATGCTTGTTAATATGTGGGACAGGAAAGACGAAACACAGATACTATTTTTTTTCCAGTCAGTGTAAGGTTTATACCAGGTATGTAACATAGCTTTTATCTTGTCCTCAGGCTCTTAGTGTGTTATGTTACAGTTCTTGGCTGAAGAAAGTTAGTCTGCCTTTTATGCACATAGGAGACTGCTCTCATGGGAAAGTAGCCAGCTTCTGAGCCAAGCCCTCTGCTTGGGCTGATTAGTCAAAAAATTAAGATATTAATTACTCACAAAAGAACAATTAGACTCTCCAGGAACCTTCTCCCTTTCTTCTCCCAATTCTTATGATGTTTATGATTATATATCAGCCCGTTTAAAGGTCTTGCAGAGCAGTATGGGAGAACCACAAGAACTGCATTTCGGAGCACAGACTCATGGTTTCCACATGCAGTCACTTACCCTGGCATCATACTCGAGGACAAAAGGGGGGAGATCAATCTGTTCCGGGGGTATGGCTCTGAATAACTGCTGAAGGCTTTCCACATAGTGGATTTTGTCCTTTAGCCCTGAGACCGTAAAGGTTGTGAAAAACCATGCTGAGACCTGAAAATGAACCCCAACACAACCAAATTAACATGGTGCTGTTTCAAAGCCTTCAAGTTCAACATAATGACATGGTTAAACAGGCTTGAGTTAAACTTGAAACACCAATATCATTGCAGAAACACAACAGGGTCAGGAAGTACACACCACTGCCTGCCAGCAAGCACTGTCTTGGGAGCTTTCAAGCTAGTGTTACCTTACTCTACACTCATTCCTCCCCAACTGCCAGCTTAAGGTCCCTTTCTATTGTACAAGAGTAACAGCTATTCTGCTATTTGTCTTCAAAAAACCATCAGCATAGTGGCACATTTTCACTTCCAGTTTAACAAGCTCAGAAAATGACCTATTTGACTCTGTCAGAATAATTTTCAACCTTCAGCCTTCAAGTTTTCACAGAAAAGGCAATTCAAGGGAGAGAAGGAGACTTTCAGCTGTCCTATTGAAACCTTCTTTCTGCTTTGGGTTGGCTGAGTGAGCATGTCCTTTTGTTTTACCACACTTCTTACGAAAGCCTAATCAACTTAACTCTAGGAGAATAAACCTGTCAACCTATCCTACAAGATTTTACTCTAAATATTTACAGCTCTGTCTCTTTTGAATATAAACAGGACAAGGAATTCTTGTTTTGTGAAGACCAGTAAGACACCATCAATACTTCTGCAAGTTACTAAATATTCCTGTTTAGATTGACTGTACAAGCTTTACCTATTCAATCCACCTGCTCCAAAATCAAGCACTGTATTACTTCTTGTTTATTTCTTATCTAGTCTTTTCCTGGTGAACTGAAGGGAAAGAAAAAACTGTTCTACAGGTCACAGATGCTCATATTAGGGACCAATCATATGGTCCTGGGCACCCAGCTCTTGCTGGGCCATCTTGAGCTGGACCAAGGGACCTCTGGAGGTCCAATGAAAAGCCTCTTGATCCTTTTTAGCCCATAAGTAAGCAAAAGCAACTCTATCAGATGGCAGCCATCCCGTGCCAGGATTTGGCACTGCTGTAAAATGGACAATTTTAGAGATTTAAGAACGACATCTATGTTCAAGGGTGATGGGTGTGTTTGGGAAGTTGCATGAATGCACAAGGCTTCCTCCTGCATTGGAGGCATGGGGTGTTTCCCATTACTTCTCCCCATGTAAGTCAGTGCTCCAAACAGGAAGATGAATGTGCCAAACATTTTTGAAGAAATTAGAACCTTTTGAGCTAGCAATCTTCCATGGGGACAAGAGCCCCCAAATAGCCAAAAAATGGAGGGGAAAGAAAAGTCATTCCCTCTTAGCAGCCACCTTCTCCATCACACTTTATGCTACACATTGCCCATCATGTTTCGTAAGCTGATAGTCCATGCTGCAGTCTGCAGCAATCCTACTTGCCTTCCAGTTAAGACTGGCAGAAAGACATGGATACACATGCTCTTTTGCCTCCAGCTGTGCTGTCAGAATAGGATACAAACTAATCCTATTTTCAGCAAGTTAGAGAACAGTGTCTCACCCTCCCTACTTCCCACTAACCATCTGCTTCGCCCACGTATCTGTTGAGTCCTACTGCAGTTCCCAAAGGGACAGACAAGATGGCAATAGACAAGGTGAACATGAGTTCTTATCCTCCAACAAAATGCCAAATGTTTCTCAACCAAAGAGAAATGTATGGGAAGAGAGGAGGGGGGATGAAGTGTTACTGAGAATCTAAAATACTAGTACTTACTAGTTGCAGCTTTTCCACTCAACTTTGTGACCTTAGTAATGTTCAATGCCAGCTCCTACATTGTCTCCTACATTAGAAGCTCTAATTCTAGCACAGAGACCCCAGATCTGTATCCTGTGGGAATCATTAATATCCTAACCAAAACTGGAAGGTATGCTGCTGGGAAGCCTTAGTCTCAACTACATAGAAACAAGGAAGCTCCACATCTCATGGTGTCCCAGCTGTGCACATGCAATGGAAAGACTCTGGAAATTTAGCAAAGAAATCTTTGCTGAACATGTGCAAACAGATGTTTTTTCCAGGAATATAATTTTCTCAAATTTATCTATGTCAGCAGAAAGCAGAATAAACACTGAGGTTAATCTGATGTGAACACAGAGGATCACATTCCTAACTGTTTTAATAGGACAACCACAAATTTTAGGAAGGGTTGGTGCTGCCACTTAGTTCATCTAAAGCACTCATACTGCTGCCACACGAGTAGTAGACATGAAGTACAGAAGGGAGCCAGCTCCATCTTCTGTTGCCCCACACAGACTCAGCCAAGGGTCAACATCTTACTGCTTGACAAGCTCAGTATTTTGTCTCCTGAAGGCTTAACAGGATTTTTCGGCACTCAAAGGCATTCTCCCCATCTTTCTTTGCTACTCTACACTCTCTTATTCTGACTCATCCAATTGCTACTTGATGCACTGCCCTCTGCCCTTACCAGGGTAGCTCTTAAGCAATGTGTAGTACACATGCAATAGATTCTTCTTGTGGTGAAAAAAAGAGGTGAAACACCCAGGAAATTAACTACACAAAAAAAGAATTTCCAGAGGTTTTTTTGTCGTGGTTCTTCACCCTGCCAACCAGACAGCAGGAAAAAGGACAAAAATAATTCCCTTTGAAAGAAATATGATCCAAAGCTTCCACCTCTCTCTGTTAAGAGCACACATAAAACAGGGCACTAGCAGCTTGCACCACATTCGGGTTCAGCTTATCACAAAGGTTGGAAGACTACAGCTAGATCAAAGATGGGATGAATTTTAAGTTCTGACTGTGGATCCAGAAGATGATGCCTAATTTTGGATGTCTTCTACACACCTCCATGTTCTTCATACTACAGGCTTACATGCTACTCCACCAACACCCAAAATATACTTTTCTTTTGTACTATTCACCTCACCTTTGAACGAAATGTTGGATGGACAAAATACAGTGCCTTCAAGTTCCTCTTGTACCTGGTTTAGAGAACAAAAAAATTATTTAAAAGAGGTTTCTAACTGACTTCACCTACACAATACCCAACTGATGAAAAAGATAATTTTTTTTTTAGTGCCTGTGATGTCATTTTAAAAAGTTAGATCTAATCCAGAGGCAGATAGCAAAAAAGTAAATGTAAAAGGAAAACCCCCCCAAAAAAAGCAGAATGGCTATTTTTCAGTTAAAGACATCACAACCTGCAGTCTTCAAACTGGATAGTGAAACACAGTTAAGGACAAATTATGACTGCCAATGTTACCTACATCTCTTCCCTCACAACTAGCAACACACTGTTAACAAAGCCAGGCTCCAGAAGCTGCAGCTTTAGACAGAGGCAGACAGTATGACCAGTGTGCCTCCCTGACATCTCCAAAAGGGAGACTGCAGAGAATAAAACTTCTGGTTTAATAGATGGTTTTGAGATGGAAAGAAAACATTGCTTCCTTCCCCTTGCCTTTGTTAGTTACTTAGGTCTTTGTTCCAAGAAAAGCTCTCTCACAATTACATGGGAAACCAGATAGAGGGAATGACAAATATTGGCATAGCACAGAGAGAGTGAAACAGGTTATTTTCCTATTGGTACTCACTTGGCATCAACAACATCATAGAGTTTCTTCAAGAAATTAGAGTCTAGTTGATTGTAATCATTTGTGAGTGTATGGAAGTACACCAGGACATACTCCTTGACTGCAATATGATCCATGACGTGGATGAAATACAGAAGAGCCTGAGACAGAAAGAAATGAAATTTGTATTTCCAAAGAACCCTTCCACAGTTGCATTACATCTTAATATACTTCCTTTAATTCATTTAAAAATCAGGAATTCTAAGGCTGGATGGCATTACATATCAGATACAAAAGCAAGGTGAACATTTTAAGCCTTCAACTTGACTGTAGCAACTTGGATGAATTTTTTGTCTAGCTGACCTCACAGATGGAGATAAGTTCTTGCTGTTTCCATGAGAAAATAATTTGACTCATTACATTTCATTCTTCACGTCTTGGCAATTACAGAAGCAGGGCAAGTCTCTTTCTTCTTGAGAAGAAAAAGGAGCCCATATTAGCCCCGTTTGCTCTAAAAATAGGCCACTTCCTCATTGAAAAATGCCACTGCAACACACACGTAGCTGTGTAAGGGAATACATTTTTATCTGCCTATAAAAATATTTTCTATTTAATACGTTCTAATTCTTCTACAGATAATGGTTCTAGTATTAACACTGAATTATCTTCAGAATCAGACTTCTACACCCTGAAAATTCATATGCAACATACACAACTCTAATTTTATAAAGCCTTACCTTTTCCATGTCAATCAATGTTACGGGGATATTCCTTCCAACCACCACCATCACTGTGCGGCCACAGTTATCTACACCTACAAAAGGAAGAAAAATGCCCCACCTCCTCTCAGTCATGCCAGGTTGTGGCATTGGTCCCTTTCAAACCAGGGAGAACCAGCCATAGCTCAGAATATTTACAGTGCATCCAGTTTGCAACAGAGGAAATACACTTAGAGTTGCTGCTCTCTCTATAACAGTGGAATCATAGAATCATAGAATCAATTGGGTTGGAAGAGATCTCAAGGATCATTGAGTCCAACCCTACCATTGTTATTAGACCATGGCACTAAGTGCCACATCCAATCTCATCTTGAGAACCTCCAGGGATGGTGAATCCACCACCTCCCCAGGCAGCCCATTCCAATGCCTGACTACTTTCTCTGTAAAAAAATCTCTTCCTAATATCCAACCTAAACCTCCCCTGGCAGAGCTTGAGTCTGTGCCCTCTTGTCCTCAGGTTGCCTGAGAGAAGAGACCAACCCCCACATGATTACTTTGGACCTACCTGACTACTCCCCTACTCCTTTCAGGTAGCTGTAGAGGGTGATAAGGTCTTCCCTGAGCCTCCTCTTCTCCAGGCTAAACAACCCCAGCTCCCTCAACCTCTCCTCATAGAACTTGTACTCGAGTCCCTTCACCAGCCTCGTTGCTCTTCTCTGGACTATTCTGATCCATCACATCTGTGAAACTTGAGTCTTAAGGATTGCAGTTTTATGTTGCCTGTGTGGTACTTGTTTACCTAAATCTCAAGTAATAACATGGTTTTTATTTAAAGAAAACCCAAAAGCTTCATTTGCACTTCTACCACTGAAGCTGAATTCTTCCTAGAAATCAAGCTCTAAAATCTAATGCAGAGATTCCCAGAGCATGCCTTACGGACCTCCTGCAGCCCACAGAGCCTTGTCTATGGCAAACAAAAGAATTTAAGTTTGCAGCTACTAAGCAGAAGGTATCACACACCCCTGATACTTGCAAAAAGATCAGGATAAGTATCTGGATCTTCAGGAGGCCAAATATATCAGCACAAGTGCCAGACAGACTTTTTCTGCAGAAGCACAGCTATGCTTTTGAGAGCCTGACTACTTGGTTGTTTCTTCCTAACACTGTGCAAAGCAGCAATAAGCCACTGTGACTGTGGCAAGTTTAACATTTGAGTATGATGCTACCTAAGGAGTAAAAGTAAACTGAAGAGTACCTGCCCCTCCCCCCCCCCGATTTCCAGGCTGCAAGGACCTCCCAGCTATTTTCTTCTCCTGAACTCTCCATTGGGTTGTTGAATCTCTTCCTAATCGCCCCATCCAGTGAACTCAAGACTGCAAGATGTGCTGCCAATGGTACTGGGCTGTTGGTACTAGGAGAGGCATACAGGGGAGAGCAACACATTCCTAACCTGAGTGAAATAAAGCAAGCCATTTTGTTCAGGAGAGCTGTATTAAAAGCTGCTTTAGTAAGTGCATATGCTCTACACTAATCATTTGAAAGCAACATTCATTTCTGTGTAACAAAAAGGTGGAGGTAATTCAGGCCAAATAACTATCTCATACAGAGCACTTATACATTGGCTTAATCTAACAGTACTGATTTACATATAAAGCTACAGATAATTCAGGATACGCATGTATCCTCAGTGTTAAAGCAGAGCAGTTTGGGAGTTTACCACACCATCTTTCACAGCAGATCAAGAGAGAACTCCTGTTTACTTTCAGAGGTGTTGCCTAGTTCCTGGCCAGGCTTCTAGCTTAACAGCATGACCAATCATATACACAACTCCAAAGAAGACACTGTATTTTGTACTTTTACTTTAAGACAATACACATCAGTCACTGGCACCCTGAACTTACCTGTCTGGTACAAGGCTTTAAGAGAAGCAATGTCAGAGAGGTCTTCGGCTCTTGCCTGACACAGCCAGCGATTATAACTAGAAAGTTAAAAACAGCTGGTCAGATCTAATCCCCCTCTGAATTAGCATTAGAAGCCTTAAGAGGTATATGAGAAGGGAAGGACAAAACAAGCTTTTTCTGACTAAGCCCTCTCTCTAATGTTGTGGTTTTCTGACCTACGGAGGAACTGTCAAATTGTTAAAGAAAGAAGTGCTAAAAATTAAAATTGAATGTCTTAGTTACACACCTAGTGATTTTCACTAGGGCAATGAACACACATCAGCTAGTAACTATAAGCATTGCATTTGAGCTGAAAAGACCTCAGTGGTTTTTCTGTCAGTATTTAAAAGACAGAAATAAAAAAATTTCTTAAAAAAAAACTAGAAGTCAAATACAACTATGCAGCAACCAGTGTCACATATGGATTTTTCTTCCCTTTTGAATGGTGAACAACTTAGTGCCTCATCTGACAAAACAAGCCAAGCACCATGCCTCCAGCATGGAACTAGCTTCTAAGAAAGTGATCATGCACATGAGGGTTTCCAGGGCCGGGGGCAGAAGGCCTCAATATTCATTTAGTTATCATTTGGAAGAAAAATGTTTTGTTATCTGCCCAGAGCCTCAAGGGCAATTGCAAACAGGTGACCCCACTACAAAAAGCAGTGACAAAACAGTGACATCTTGTGGCAAACGGATAAGGCAGCTAGCTGGATACACTGAGTATGCTAGTGAGTTCACCCCCAGCTTCCTTCTTCCTCCTACTGCCCCTTCCCCTCTCCCTTCAGGCCAAAGAGGCTACCACATCAATCCAGGGAGATGCCAGGCTTGTCTGTATTACCCTGCTGGAAGATTAGGCTTTACAGATAACAAAATCATCATTCATAAGGGTTGGTCCTCTGAACAGCTAATTAACACAAAGCATTCACATGGACAAGCAGATTCTCACTTCCTCTGATGCTGTTTTTGTAGTGCTGCCTCTGACAACTGTCCCTGAAGGATGAGGCGTCTCTGTTTATCAACGTCTCCCTCCATGCGAGCAAAAGCATGGGAACCAATGAAAGACAAATCTGCCTCCAGACCCTCTTCATCTGAAGTATCTGCAGTAAAAACAAAGGTGGTGTGGTATAAAACGTTTGAGCTGTGTACAGGACAGCAATGCTGCTGCTGAATTGCTAAGCACCTCAGTGAGCCAACCCAGTCATCATGCCACAGGCTAATGTAAAAACCCACAACACACCATGATACATCTCCAATAGCTCCCCAGTACCACTGAGAGATTACAGCATGTGATCTATAACTAGGTTTCCTTAAAATGTTGGTTTGTCAGGAAACTAAATGGAAGAGTCTTAGTCATCAGCTTTTAACAAAGGGGTAACAGTTAACTCTCCCAAAAAACAAGGTCTGGAGAGAGTGACTTGGGCTTTGGGGTTGTCCTGCTTATCACAGGTGGGGAAAATAAGTGTGAACAAGCACAGATGCTGTAGCTTTATTCAATATAGAAGCTGTACTGTAGAAAGGGCTCACTTTTATATAATAGGCACTTCATGAGCAAATGCTGTAGAGCTGGTGGTAGCCAGACTTTAGGTATTTTTACAGCACTGTTTACAACATAACCGTGTGATGGAATACAAGAGCACAGACTCACTTACTAGTGACAATACCAGAACACTCCACTGAATTTGGTGTCATCAAGGAATATTTCTAAGGCTCCTAGCACTATCTTTCAGGGCAATCTGGATGGGAATCAAGTTTCCCAGTTTTAGTGGGACAAGAGAGCAGGATTCCACTACATAAATTCACTCCTACGGATGCAAACCCAGCAATTGCGCAAATTATTGAATACCTTACACTGATCAGCTACAGCTGCAAATATCACTCTAAGCAGCAAGCTGGACAGCAGGAGAAAAAAACCCAAACAAATAAACCAGAAAAAGCTTGGAGTCTGATCAGCAGGAGTAGGTACATCAAGTACTGAACTGTGAACAGGAATATTAAGTCACCTGTCTCCTCATTACATATTCTGCCTTATTCCAACTGGCCACACAAAAGCAGAAAATCTTTGAAACCCATTCCATCTTATCTACTTTGGATGGTTTAAGGCTTTGCCTGAAGTGTAAAGCTTTCACATTATTCCTTAACAAATTTGGCAGAAATGTCAGCTATGGCTATTTATATATTAAATGGTTTTGCTCTATGTATCTCACTTCAACCCTGACATCTAGGCAACCTCTTTAAAACAGACTTTCACTGAGCTTTGATAGCCATTTCCAAACACTGATCTCTGGGTTGATTGAGTTCTCTCTTTTGGGGTGTTTCTGCTAGTTTCCATTGCATATCTAGTTAGATACACATACTGCATCAACAGAACCGTGTAATTCGAAACATTTGCAACATATAAGCAACACTTTGCTAATATACAAGACAGACCACTAGCTAGAATGCCTTTTTGAGTTAGAGGCTGCATGAGATTCTGCAGAAAACCTTCAAAGGTCCTAATCACTTTGGAAGAAACTTTACAAAGGGAATGAACTACCCATCTCTTCACCCCAGAAAGAAAACCAACAGCAGTTCTACTGCTTCCTCTAACCACACCACTCTACACAACAAGGCAGAAAGCAGAAGTTACTGCTGTGGAACACATGAAGCCAGTGAGGCAATTTGACAATTCTCTTCATTATAAACTGCCTAAGGTGAACTGAGGTAGGAAAACATCACTTCTTTTTCTGTTTTCCCCATCGACTTTCACATGCAGATACTAATATGTTCAAGTTCAGGACTCACCATCTGGAACACCTGGCTTCTCAGTAATCCTGATCTGCCGCTCTGGTACTACAGGCTCCCCTTCTGCATTGCCAATATCTGCAGGGAGGTAAGGCAAGGATTGTAGCTCTTCTTCCAATGACCTCGGAAAATACAGAGGCAGCAGCTTCTGGTAAGTGGCCTACAAATAAGAAAAAGGCGTGAAGCGTCTATCATGCATACTTGCTCTTCAGTTACATAGCACCTGCCTTTGTAGCAGGGACCTCCTCAGCAGTGTGGAGGCAAAACACCATTTCCTAATGGCTTACTTGGGACTGCTACCTGGAAATAAAGGCAAGTAACCTTGATAAAGGTTAATTTTGTCTTTCTCTGCCACACTGGCAAATGACCTTGAGAGAGTTCTGCTTTAACATGCATGAACTCAGGTAGATTGCAGGTACTTTAGCTTTGTAATGAAGTGACAATATGCATGGATGACAGACTTCAGCAAAAGCTGCATATACTAAAATGCATCACTACACAGGTCACCTTTAATGATCTGAAAAGAAAAAGCAACAACCAACAAGGAGAAACCCTTTCCACATGGAAAAAAATAGCAAAAAATCCTCTAGTGAACCTTGTAATACTTCATGTGTTCTCTCTAACAGATTAACAGTTTTATAATGCCCAACAAGTTAGTTATTTTCCTCATTCAGATGTCAGAGAATCTGAACAGAGTGCAGGTGTTCTGCTCAGGAACTACCACTAGCAAGTCTGATGCACAAGAGAAGTCAACATTCAAACTATCAGCATCTCTCAGCACGCATCATCAAATGTCAAGCTTGCTATTTGAACAAGCCAGCAAGCAGCATTTAAGATGCTTGGAGGTGATCTGTAGGCATGCTAAACTGGCACTCTTAAAGCATAAGGGAAGCATCTTTCTGTAAGGAGGAAATTTGATATGAGGAATTTCCTTTCTGGCTGACAGATAGAATCCAGCACAACTGGCTGCTATAACCTCTAGGACTGATTCCTGTCCATGGTTCAGGAACACAGAAGCAAGAAGCAGAAATATACTGAACACGTCCATAGTGACTGCTAAGAGCATAAACTGGAAAATACTCCTATGCTAGCAGGAGACAGGATGCTCTAAGACCAAAAGCCTATGTGATCTGAAGGGGAAATCCAAATCCAGCTCTACAATGCTGCTGCAGAGAAGCTCAAACATGCCCATGAATTTCTGTGGAATGAATGCCAAGGATGTACCTCTTCAAGCTCAGAGACAGCAAACACCACCTTCTCCAGAGTCTCTCCATGAATCTCCAGAAACCTTCTAACTGTGCCTGCAAGAAAGAAGATTAAATGTAGTTAGCAAAACAGGAGAAAAAAATCTACATATGCAACTACAAGCAAAGAACTCAGAGTGCAGAAGAGAGATACATCCCTCTCCTCATACAAAATTGTTCCACAGGCTGTAGGCAAGTGTGGATTAAGTGGTAGTTTAACACCTCAAATGGGTTGCTGGCCATATTGGAAGTTCCATCTCCACTCTCTCCTGAGGTTCACTTTAGAGATGGATATACAACATTATTGTCTGTGCACTCTTCTATTTTCAGCCTAGGACATTTTCTGATTTGTTTTCAGTAGTCTTCATTTCTTTCTTTAATATAGTTTCCCCTTGAACACCAAGGAAATTTGGAAACTTTTAGTCATGCTTTTTGGTCAGAAGGTTCATAAAACAAACAGAACCTGATTCATACTGGCCTTGTTTGAAGGTTCTTATTTTGGGAGGTTAATAACTGATTCCTATTCACCGTTTCCATGCCAATCCTGAGTTTATAGACATCTATCACATTTCCTTTAAGTTTAGCATATTCCAGTCTGAAACAGACATCAGGTTACTCGGCAACTTCTTGCCTTTTCCTATTCTTGTTGACCTCCAAGTTCTCTCTCTACTATTATTTTTGAATGTGCGGCTTTAAATGAACAAAGCACAGATTTATTGCATAACATGCTTAACTTTGTTGTCTCTTACTCAGCTTGCTGTTTTGAACTCCTCTAAGCTGTTGTTTGCATGGAGCTATTATAATCTCAACATTTTGCTCCCTAAGATTAGCCCATCATTTTGCACAAGAAGGCATAAGCATATAGGAGTGGCTCAGTGGGGGAAGAATATCACTTTACATTTGGTTATGTCGATGGCGCTAAAACAGCAGATGAAGTTCACTGTTGCTTGAGGTACATCTATAAGTATTCAACAGTAAGGCCTCATCTTTGCTATTCTGAAAAATTTCCTATTGCCAGCAAACTCTCTCACTGTTCAGCATCTTTTCCAGGTTATTAATTAATATATTGAAGAGTGCAAGTTCCAGCACAGATTCCCATGAATCTTTACTGATGATCTCTCAATACAGGAAGGATTATTTGTTTTTATCTTCCATTTCCTGATCAACCATGCAAGGCCTTGCCTTTTTACAGCCTCTAACAAACCACTGCCCCCTAAAAAAAAGGTTTGCCTGTATCAATAGCAATCTGTCAGAGGTAAATGACCTGCTGAATACTGTCATCCAGTTTATGTGGCTTTCCAACAAACTTACGCAGTGCTATGTGGGTTGCATCCTCCAAGGGGTAACATCTTTTCACAGAATTAATGACACAAAATCCTATGGAGCTCATTGCCTGTTCCCTGAAATCCAGAAAAAGAGAAACAAATGAAGAGACAGTCAGATGTGAACAGATGTCTGTCAGCACAGCAGGTAACACCAATAATTTTTTCCCTGGCTCTATGCAGCAGTAACCCTTCTCTCTCTTCTTCAGGGATTCCCCTTCAGGGATTCTTCCCTGACAAAATATATATACATACCACCATTAAGAGAAGGCCAGAACCATTAGTTATTCCACATTCCTCTGGTGCTTGTTCTCAGATTTCTCCTTCTACCTCAGCTATGTTGTTCCTGCAGTTTCTTGTATTCTGAATGAAATTCTTCCCTCAAGCTCCCTGTAATCCCTTCCAAAATATTTTCCTTCCTGTGTAGGATTGACAGTGAGGAGACTGAGGGGAAAAGAAGGTGCTCTTTGCCACAAACACTCTCCTGTTCCTTCACCTGACCAACCACTTGTTTTGTTAGAGGTCTGGACACAGACCAAGGTGGCTTACTCAATCACAGGTATGATTAGACAATCATCAGAACAGAGTGACACATACTTTAAGTAAGATGCTGCCAACACTGAGCCACATGTTCAGAAGAGTAAAGCAGAGCTGTTGCCAACAGTCATCAGAGGAGTTTGAGCAAGCTCAGAGTTGGTAGACAATTTCACAAATACCAAAATTTAGTCTAGAGAATAGATTGCCTGAATGACATTCAATATGCAGAACTATCAGAATTTTTGAATTGTTCTAAACATGTTTCAACCCAGACCTTGTTTTCTTATAACTTCAGAGTTTGAACAAAACTGGCACATGCTAGAAACCTTAGCTGTAATCTTGATTATGAAAGTTACTAATGCACTGTAATGCACAGTCCAGACTTGAAAGAATTGATCTTCCCAACACTAAGAAATTGTTGAGTATATTTTCTGACATTGCTCTTGTTCAGGTGTTTTTTGTGACTGCTACCATTACAACAGAAGAAGGACAGAATACAGGAAAGAACAGTGAAAAATAGAAATAAAAAAACCTGTTAGCTAAAAGAAAGTAGAATATACCACAGATGAAAGAGGAAAAACTACAAACCTAGCTGCAGCAACTGTAGATTTAGAATAACCTTACACCCTGACTCAGTTTTAGGTATCTGTTATACAAAGGCAGAGAGACCAAACTTAAGATCTGATACAGCAGTCAAAACTGTCTGTGGGTACACCCACATGGCTGCAGACACACAGGAGGATGCTGCTCGAGCTCATTTAAAGCTTTTTGCAGCACAGTACCCAGTGCAACTATTAATGCTGTTTCTCCTTCAAGTAAGTGAATGCTGCACAGCTCCAGCTACATGGTTTCAAGACTTGAACGGGCTCAGACCTCTCTGCGTATTTTATCTATACCACAGCATAGATAACAAAAGGCACGAAGCATACCCTGAAGGCACTCATGTTCTCCTGTCCTTAACCAAATCGAATACACATGAGACAGACGTTTGGCCTGGGTGCAGATCTAAGTATCTAGAACAGATGTACCACAGATGGCAAACCCTCATGCAAGTTGTGGTGTGCTTACTTGGCGAGCTGCAGGACATTGCGGTAAGAGCTGTAGAGAGAACTCTCGGCTGCGGTGCGATACCGACTTTTGTACTTGGGCCCCACTGTGTGGATGATGAAACGTGCAGCCAGATTAAACCCTTTGGTGAGTTTAGCCTCACCTGTCCTGCAACCTGAAAAAGACAAAACCACAAGGATAAATGTCCATGTGTTTTGCCAATTGGTGGGGGCAACAGAAATGACCCAAACACCAACAAAAGGGATAGGCTTATTTTACTACTAATTAAGATGGTACAAAAATGAATAATGCAATTACTTACACAGTTAGTTGACAAAGCTCTAATTCAAGCAGCACAAACAGCAAATTAAATAAGCAAGGTAATGCACCTAATCATTACTATCCAGTAAGAAGCATAGTGATTAAGAAAGATACATCACCAATTGCCCTCATACTTTATCATCATCCAGATCCACAGTCGCTGGGGAGCCCCAGTTGCAGCCAGGGTTTGGAGAGCCTTTCCTGGCCATTGGGAAGTCCTACATAGTGCATCCACTCAGAGGTGAGGCGTCCAAAGTAATGGCAAGGGGGTCCTGCTTTTATGGGCCAAATTGGCAAGTCAGAACGATTTGTGTTATTTCTTGCAGTTTTATGCAGAAAAATCTGGTGGTACCCCTACCCTGACCAACCGAGACGAGAACTAGGCCAGAGCCCAGGGCATGGTTGGTGGGGTTTCCTTACATACCTTAGAGAGTTGCACAAGATGGCACACCAGTCACCAGTCTCTGAGGTGTCTTGTTTATGATTCAAAAAGCTAACATAAGGGGTTTGCTAAATCTATATTGTTATGTATGCACTGTCAGCAGTTTAACCAACTAGCACAAAGGGTATCAATCACAAAATGTTCAGGATTCATCTCTAAGTCAACTCTGGCTTGGGCCTACTCTCCAAGCCTTAGCATTTCAATAGTCGGTTCAGATGTTTCAAAACCTAAAGATAAAATCCATTCACAATTTCCCCCACTGCATATACTGAGCATGATGTCACATGGTATGGAGTAAGACTTTGGTCAGTTTGGGTCACTTGTCCCAAACCAGCACACCATGTCATAACAAAGCCAGAAGTATTCAAGCCCTTGACTTCCTCCAGAATCAGACACATATATACACGTGTGACTATATATATTGTCAGACACCTTCTAATATATGGAAGTCAGTGTTTCTGACATCAAATACTAGGGATAGCATCCTATCTCATAACAGCTGCTTAGCATCACCTAGTCAGGTAGAGGAGGTGAGAATTGTGCTCATTTCTCTCCATTTTAAAACTATGCATATAAGGACAAAACAAAAATTGCTACAAATGGTGCCTTAATAGCAGTGCTTACTATGCTACATACAGAGCCAAAAGAAGTGATTTAATATTGTGCAGAAAACTGATGCACAAACATACAGCCAGCAATAAAAAGTCCTTCTGAATTTAACAACTTGGATGGGGAGAACTCCTTTTAGGATAAAACGACTACAAGTCTCCTTAAAACAAACAATTTGTTGGTAAAGCTATTAAAAAGGAATAGATCAAACTCTTGTTTCATTTATGCTCCCAGAACAAGGTAGCTTGCTTAGCTTTTGCAAGTTTGTTTTTGCAAGTTTTTAGTGTCCGTAAGGGCGATGTACAATTCTCATGGAGACTGTACTTTCTTGACAGACTAGTCTGGTCTCAAGGCAAGGAAGTTCAAGTGACATATAAAATGTTCCACTCACAGCACCCTCCAGTTACATACTCTAGGAACAGATACTGTGTTTGAAGTCTGCTTTTCCTTTGGCACCTGGAAGAAAAATTTATAAAACCTCCCCTTCCTCACCTAAATCTAGTCTGCTCCAGTTCTGGACAGCTGAAGTAGTGCTTCTATAGTCTCCTTCCCTACCATCAAAGACAAGTATTTTCCAACCTTCTTCCTTCAGTTTGTACAGCTGCACTTCAGCTTTCTGATCTGGCTGAAAACTAGTGCTTTCACTTGATTAGCATTCAACCTGATCTTCTTACAGGTTGCTAGTACCCACAAAAAGGAACGAGGCATGAACAAGCAGCTGCAGACACCCTTCTGGCAGCAGCACTACAGTAGCTTGGCTTGAGCTTCCCACTGAATAGGACTGTTCACTTCTCCCACTCCACTCATTCCTCATGATGCTCAGGCAAACTATCAACATATGTAAAAGTGTATTTTATGGGAAGAAACATTCCAGGTTGAGACTCTTCCTTACTCAAAACTCTAATCACATCTTTTTAATGGCAACAATACATTGCCTTTAAGCCAGCATCTTGTAAAATTTTTGATCCAATAAATTGTATCATTAGCTTCTATAGATCTCCACCTTGCTTCTTCTGGGTTAATCAGAAGGAATACAACAGCATACTAAAACTAAGCATACTCTTCTGAATTCCTGGACATCCTCTACAACAGCTCAAGAGAGCAATTAAATAAGCACAATATGGAAAAAGTAGAAGCCAAAACCAAAACAATATACCAGATACCAAGTTACTATTCTTCCTCTGTGGTCCATCCAAGTCTCACAACTAGTAAAGAGCAAGCAAAGGCCTGTAGGAAAAACTGTCTTGTTAAAAAAAAAACGAATGAAGAAAGTTTGACTGAGGTATAGTTGTGAATTCAGAATGTCAGTAATAAATTCAGACAACCTGACACAGCATCAGTAATGTCTAACTACACTTAGATCATGTCATACTTCCCAATACTTTCCACCTGGAGATCTCTACAAAACTTAGACAACTAAAATGAGCAGTAAGTATTATTCCTATTTTAAGCTACAGGGTGAAGTGAACAGCGCAAGTCAAGGTCTACGGCAACACTGGGAACAAAGTCAAGATTGTATTTATTATCTGATCATATTTCAGACATTAGAACAGCTTTTCTGAGTTCAACATGGAAAGTCTGTATCGCCTACATAATGTGTGTGGCAGAGAAAAAGTGTCACTGGAGTTGGAACACTACTGTGCAGTGCTGTTACAGGTGGTCTTTGTTAGACTGCTGCCAGTACGTGTTAATAGGCAAGCATGTATCAACAGCACTTCATCTGCAAGCCTGGACTCTTGGCTGTAGTATTTGTGCATTAATCAAAGCTAGCACACTGCTTCCAGGAACACACGAGTTAGCTGAGCTTTAAAGAAAGCACAGACCTTTGAAAGGCCAGCACATCACGTGCATTAAGATCATGATTTTTCTTGGAGTCTATGAAATGTGAATACATACCAAGCCATAGGACTAAAACAGGAAAGAACTAACTGGAAACACACTCATTTTACAGCTTTAGAGTAGACTGGACATTTTCACTTTTTTTACACATTCTCCTATGAAAAAATTTCAAGGTTACATGGGAAAGAAGACAAAAAGGAAGCAGAGGTGACAAAAGAATCAAGAAAGTATAGCTTCCTCCCATCAATTTCCAGAACAGCCTTGCATTTATTTTTCCAATAAAGTATTTTCTTGCACACAAGAGTCAAATGAGCCAATCAATTTAAGACTTTATTTAGACACGCACTGTTTCATCAATCCATCTATTATTGTCATGGTTTCCTGAAAGACTGTGAGTACATTACTACTCTGAAAGAGAATACACAATCTAACAGAATCCACTTAGTTTCTGCAATTGTGAACTTCCATTCCTGTCTTGCACAGTTTGAAGATGTACAAGATAAGACCCTTGAGCAAAACCTCTGATAAGCTAACTACTCAAAGTGGCTTCAGATAACAACGGAGATTAGTGTATCACAAAATAAGGGCTCATTAATTTGAATATCTGCCACAGATTCTCAGTGATCTGTAATGTGAGTGGCAGAAAGAAGAGACTAGGCTGGCATTTTTTTCACATTAACATCAGCTTTTGCTGGGGGAGAAGCTATACCTTTTCAGTTTATGCCCAAATCCTGATGCTTTGTACTATGCAAGGACAGTAGATTTCAGTTAAGATCAGAATGTCTCCAGCCACTTACCTTTGAGCTTCTGGAGTTCATCCTTCAGGTCAGGCCCAGCATGCATGAATATACTTTCAGATACTGGATTCTTATCAGTGAGAGACTCATTACTGGTATTTACAATGGCTGTGCAGTTCAGTAATGCGACATCTCCTTTCCTGTGGAAACAGTTTTTTGCAGGATAAATGTACGATTAAGCAGGATACTGTCAAGTAAGTGCTGACAAGCAAGGAAATGCCAAGTTACAGGAAAAGCATTAACAGTACTCCAGTTCCCACATAGTGTAGCACACCCTGACATGCTCACCATGCAGAATCACCCTTTGTCTCTATCTGATGAAGACAGTCTGCGTGCAAACCCTCAGTTCCTTGAAGCCTCCCAGCCTCTACACTAGCTTAGGGATGTATGCAGGAAGGGCAGTGCTGTACATGTATGTAGGGCAGCTGACAGCAAACATGCAAAGCAGCATGTTAAACTGAGGCAGTGCAACAGGCTCCAAAAACCCCACATATCTTCTCTCGGAGGTAAGAGCACGGCCCTTGTGTTATATTACTTTCAAAACCTCAACAATTTTTCCAACGTACTCCGTTCAGTTTGCATACACACTATCCAGGGCAGCTTACTGCTGCTGCTTTTCCTCAGACCACTGCAGATCTAGAGTGACACCGCAGCTGGACACGTTCTCTTTGCTTTTGTTCCCAGACTGTGAACTCACAATGTGATCATGTTCATTCTGCTGTTCAAGGATCAGACATGCAGAAGATAAACACAGCAGAGATGTGTAAGGGACAATGGAGTAACAGAAGTCTGACCTGCTTTTTGTCACAGCAGCAGCCGTAAGGGATTTTGGGATCAAAGAACATAAGGGAAATAAAGATTCCCATGCACAGGAAGAGATTCAAATAACAGTTAAAACCGCACACATTTATTACACCCAAGCTGAAGTCATAAGAGATGTTTAACCTTTTACTCCTCCCCTTCTTTACTTAATTGGGTTCAGAAAATCCATGAACAGTCCCATTTTCCACATGTATTAACCAGAAAGAGGTTCAGGCTAATTCCTGAATCTCTGTCCCTGAAAAATCCTTCTCTCTTCACATTGATTAACATAGTTACTTATCTAGAGAACAGGAGTTCTTTCCTGAGTTACAGGAAAGAAAAAATGATGAAGTAAGTTCACCTCAGCACACTGTACTTTATCAATAGATTTTGGTAGAAAATCTTGGAGACAAAACACAGAATGGGGTGAAGAAGCCGGGAAGAGCCCAAAACAAGCCACAAGAACCACATGAAAAGAAGAAATACTGATTTAAACCAGGAAAGTGAAATGAAAACAATGCCAGCAAATGCAGAAAAAAAAAAGCAGCTAGTAGATAGCCATTTAAAAAGATAAAAGCCTTATATCAAGGTGCTCAACTATGTGTTAATAATAAGCATACAGTATCACAGTAGGAAGCACAGCCCCAGTTTGCTGCATCAAGGGCTGCCTATGAACATGCAACTTATAACCTGTGGTGGAGCAAAATCTCAGAATTGTCCATTTCCAGCAAACAAAAAGATTATTTTCTTCAAATATCTGTAATTTTTGATTCAAAAAAAGAGGATTTGAAGGCTTTCCTCTGGAGCAACAATCATTATGTGAAGCAATTAGATTCTGCAGTACATGCATAAGTGACAACAGACACACTAGAGCCATGTGGAACTTACCATAAGATTATTTTTTCATTGATGTCTTTCCTGTATGGAAAAGGTGACCTAACATCAACTGGAGCTTTTTCCACAGGATTGTTGTGACAATCCAATTGCTTGACCTCATAGGCATCAGTCCAGCCTGGCAGACTATCAATATCCACAAACTGGGAAGGAGCACCCAAGGGATCCATGGAATGGAAACAAAACTCCCTTCCTCTGCTAACTTGTCACACTCCAGCTCTCACTGGAGACTTCCAGGTGCTTTAAAGAAAGAAAATCAAATCAGGTCACCAGCTGTACACACAAAAAAATTATACTGTGGAGCCAGACCTCTCCCCAGACTGCAATGCAATTACAACCAGCAAACACAAAAGGAGATTTCCCACTCAAATGTTCCCTCTGTTTTGTTACCTGTACGCAAAAAGGAAATGCAGATACTTGCAGTAAGGCAAACCTTTTCCAGTAGTGCAAGATGAAAACACCTTCTCTACTAAACTGATCTAACTGGCTTGTGACCTTGCATTTTGGAAACAGCAAAAACATATATCTAAGTGTAGAAAGGACCTCAGTCTTTCTGAATAGTGTTACTTCTTTATCTAAACAAAAAGCCAATTTGTAGCAGGGTATGTATAATCTGTTCTTCCAGAGATACTAGTATAGCCCAGGGTCCTACCTAAAAAGAAAAAATAGAAATACACAGCTTTCCAAATCACAATGCCCCAAAAAAAGAAAACCCCAAACCTTACAAACAAACCAATCAAAACATCCTCCCTTCCCTCAAATCATACAGCCCTCTACATTCAGTGAATTCTGAAGCACTGCAAACAAGACTTGGAATGACATAATTCTTATGGTTGTGCACTCTGGCACAAAAACCCTTTACCCAATAATTTTTGCAAGAAAGAATAAAGCTGTAAATTTGAACACTGGCCCAATGAATCTGAAGACAGCTCTGCAATCTGACTTTTTTTTTTTTAAAGCCTAAGATGGCACTGGTTGCTAGATCAAGCCTGAAACTTGCTGATAGGTACTTTTCAGTTGCCAGCACATAACACTCAAGCGACAACATTTTAATTGCAACTACTAAACTACGCAAATTAATTAAACTAGCACAAACATACCCACATAAGTATCTAGACCTTGCCACATACACATCTCCTACTTAACCCTTCTCACAGGCACATAATTGATAATTATTTAAATAAGATTGCATCCACAAGGGGTAATTATGAAGCGCAAATTATAATGTTCACTAGCAAGAACAAAAGAAAAGAAAAAAACCTCACAAGCATCCAAGCTCACGCTGAAAGGTAATAAAGATTGGCACTACGACACATAGGGCTGTAAAAGCATCAAAGTAAGACTTTTGCCACGAAGAGCTGGGAGAAAAGCAACGAGCAAGTGCGGTCACACTGGCTCCAACCAAAAGCTCATCTACAACGCCATCTTCCCCTGATGAGCAGCCAAACCCAGGGGTCTAGGCACGGCAGTACGAGGCAGGAGAAGAGGAGCTCACATCAGCTCCTGCGAGGTGTCTCCCTCACGCTCGCTGCCTGGGGCCCTCCAGCGGCAGAGGCAGCCCCGGCGGGATGACA